GCTCACAGTCATGTTCATTTTTAATAATTTGAAAAATCTTTTTATCATCAGCAAATAGGAGTATGTTAGAATGTTGGAATTGCAAAAGAACATCATTTATATAAATATTGACCAAAAAGGGACCGAGACGCGAGCCCTGTGGGACACCCGAAGATATTGGTAAAACCGAAGAACCGAACCCCTTAACTGCTACTGCTTGAGTACGATAACGCAAGTACGATGCTAGCCAGCGCAGGAGGTCACCATGCACACCGATTTGGTCTAGTTTTTTGATAAGGATTTCGTGAGATATTTTATCAAAAGCTTTTGAATAATCGGTGTACACAGCATCCACCTGTAGCCCTGCATCCATTGCTTTGTAAACAATATCAAGATATTCGCATAAATTACTCTCTGTAAATTTTCTAGTCATAAATCCGTGCTGGCGCAACAAGACGGGTCTAATGGTGGGGTATATAGCGTCATACACAATTTTCTCAAAAAGCTTGGGGATAGATATTAAGTTTGGATATCGGACGATAATTTTCTATATCCCGTTTATAACCGGACTTAAACACAGGTGTCACAAAGGACTGTTCCTAGGCATATGGCATCTGTCCCGTTTTAAATGAAAGATTAAACAATCTAAAAAGCGGCTCAGATAATTGCTTGTAGCAGTGCTTCAATAAAATTGGGGGAATCCCGTCAGGACCAGCGCCTTTATTAATATTAATATTTTAAGGTACGATTCAATTTTGGCTTTATCTATAAAAATATGGTTGAGATTTATCAGGTTATTTCCTTTGTTGACATCTATATGATCATGATGGGATTGACTATGGGATTCAAATACCGAGTTAAAATACTGATTAAACAAATCGCATATGCCCTCACCGCTAGATGACCTAATCTCCAATAAATATTGAGTCAGGCAAATCATTTATATTTTTGCTTTTTGATTTAATTTATGCCCAAAAGTGTTTACTATTGTGAGAAATCTTAGATTCAGCATCAGATATAAAATTATTAAAACACTCCTCTTGTAACACCTTTTGCCTTTCTCTGAGTAGTCTAAATGTATTATAAATTATAATACATTTTCATCATTATAAATTATAATTTATAATTAGTTACATGGCCATATATTTTCCGCTTCCGATGATATTTTAATTTTTCGTTGATTGTTTTTATTAGTGCTCGATTAAACCATATTGGGTATTTATTTTTAGTTTGAATAACTTTGACTGGAATAAACTTAATTATAATATCATTAATTATGTTATAAAAAGTTTCAATATTATCGTTAATATCATTCGAAGTGAAACATTCATCCCAATCTATGTTAGAGAGAGCACGATTTACATCATCATAATTGGCTGATTTAAACAACTTAATGGACTTGGTGTTTTGGCTGAGTGACCTCTGCTTACAAATCGAGACTTCACAACAAAAAGCTGGGTGATATTTATCTTCTGGAACAAGAGGCTCAGAAGCTGATACACTACAATCCACGTCTGCAATAACTAAACGAAGCACTCGCTTATTACCATTGTAAATTAAATTAAATTGTTTAAAGTCATTAATGGATATAAAATTAGATAAATCATTTACGTAGTCGACATTAAAATTACCAGAAAGGGTGGAAAATGAAACATTTTTAACGGGCAACCACTCAGCACAAGGGATATTAATGTCACCAAAAATAACATAATATTCGCCCTGGTATTAAAGAGCCTTGTTAGTTATGCATTCATAAAAATTACTTAAAACCTCTTGTCGAGCATTACAATGCGGAAAATAGCACGAGTACAAGTTATAAATATTTTCTGAGGTTAGATTAAGCGATAAGGAGACTGATATAATTTCGGCTGCCAAATTTACAACAGGAACAATTATACAATTACATACATTAAATTTTCGATGTACAGCTATTAAAACCCCACCCCCATCCTATAGCCCCTGGCAGCATAGTCTCTATCGCATCTGTAAACACTCGGTAGTAGCCATGTTTCTGTAATACAAATAACGTCATATTCATTTGAAAAAATACTCTTATAGAACATGCTAGTTTTTGTACGCAACCCTCTGACGTTTTGGTAATAAATTCGCAATCTATCTTTAATCACTATAATATAATAACTCAGATACATAGCTCCAATAGTAATATAATAATGCCGTATACTGTCATCATATAACTTTAAATTGTTAGGGTTACAAAAGGAATCAAAAACTACACCACTGTAAGGAACAACAAAGCCTACCAATGCGCACGAACGAAAACAAAAAAGTAGCAATGAACGTTCACTCCAACCCAAACAAGGATAATAATATGCAAAACTTTGTATTTTTTATTATTCTGTGAATAAAAATAAATAATAGTTCATATTTTATTTTGAATAAATCATTCGTGGAGTTAATATGTAGCTTTCACCTTGACGCACCATAATAGTACAGTATTTACCCACACGAATTTGTAATTGCAATCTTTAGCTTTAGCTTTTGCTTTTGCCTTTTGGAGCAGTAGTTTATTAGATGTAGTTAAATGATCGTTGAATAAGACATAAGAGCTGTTGCCTGAAAACCCGATGTCGCTAGCTTTCAAGTTTATAAGCTGACGTACCTTACTCAGAAACTCATCCTTATAGTAACGAGACATGAAACGCACAATTATACATTTGGGCATTTTATTATATTTTGATAAGGACGCAACACGGGTTACGAAATCCATATCAGTGGAGGCGTTAAATGGTATATCAGCTTTTTTTGCAAAGTATTCTATGATTGTAATCAGGTTCTCATTTTTCTTTTCAGGAACTCCACAGATTTCAATATTTGAACGTCTGGCTCACTGATCTCTTGTATTATTCTCAATCTCCAGTTTATTTAATGAAGTCTTCAATTGGGCCATATCAGCCGATATTACATCCATGGATTTTAAAGATTTTTCTTGGTTGACCAACTGTGTCTTAATTTCTTCATATTTATTGTTTATAAATGAGACTGATTTCTTGACTTCGTCCACTTCATCTTCTATTTTCTTAAATTTTGTATTTAATAGGTTCTTAAAGCTGGCTTCCAAACCTTTCTGTAATTCTATAATTTCCTGTCTCATTTCCTGCCTAATTATCTCACGCAATTCAAGGGAAGAAACTGTGATTTGACCAACTGTATCACTGGTTTGAACCATTGATGAAGGTTCCGACAACGTATTTTTCTTTTTGTGACGTTGGGTAACGGTTTCTATTTGCCGACGCTTGTGATGCCCCCGAACGTATGGGAGTATTGTCGCCTTTAATCGCCTTTGGCTTTTTGGCTATACAAGTGGGACAGGTCCAGTTGTTTGTATCGACAGTTGAAATATCATAGCTGTTTGCAGGGTCCACACAACTGTAATGAAACGCTCCACCACAATGGGTGCATAGCATCGTTGATTTCTTGTCTATCGATCCCTCGCAGCAGGAGTACATTGTTATGCAAAATTAATATTAATACTAAGACTTCACAATAGGCACAAACTTACAGTGATTGCTCGTGTACATGCGCATATGCAATTAATAATCTATGACAGGTAGCACTGCGCATGCGCGATGACGTGAGATCGATGCAGTCAATGAGCACAAGCAGATATAATCACTTTGCACTGCGCGTAGCACTGTTTATTGCCTGCTGTTCTGCTTTGCCCGTCGAACCAGCTATTATGGCTGCCGGCTGATTTTTGCACAATAATTAAACTGTTCGGTTCGTAAAAGCACTATATTTACTTCGTCTACGTTTGATTTCACAACATAGGTACATGGAACTGACACTTATTTATAACGTGATATGGGTTTTATCTAAAATTGTACGATAAATATACTTTTTTCAATAATAAACCGGGAGCTCGCTTGTTAATAACATTTACCTTTTGACGAGGCGTCAAAGACTGTGGGACTATGGGATATAATATATATTAAATCCCGAAATATAAATTATATCCCACGATTGCCCTTCTCGCTGTGAGATATATCTTTTAACTAGTGTGCGTTCGTCATTGGAGGATCTGAGGACGTAGTGGAGGCGCGGAAGGGTGTGCGGGGTACAGGAGGTGAAATATAATATGAAAATATCACTCGGTCGATCGAAGAAATAATAATAGTTTGGGATATAATGTATATTATATCTTAGTGGAAATGGTTCCATTTAAAAGTACGGTGAGCGATATTAATTTATATCTCGAGATGTAATATAAATTATATTATATCCCATAGTGGAAAGTCGACTTAAGGCGCTTTATATCTTGGGATTAATTCTTTTTGTCTACGTTTTAGAATGATGTGATAAATGGTGATTGTTGTGTGTTTTCCCATGCTGATGCATTTGTTGCGACGCTTATTGTAAAGAGTTTTGTGAAAAAAATATACATCACATTAAGCTGTATAATACAAGATCTTTGCCTGCCTTAGTTGGCAAATAGTAAGTAACAACAGCATTTTCTTTGTCTTTGTCTCTTTGTTAAGTCACAAATGTCAATGTTTTTGAAATCAGCTTCAGTTTTTAAGTTATATCTTGATAATTTAAAGTTAATTTTTAATTAGCATTAACTTTATATAAAGTGTAGTACAGTTTACACTTTTACAAAATAACGTATTGTTATGACGTGTAAAATATTATAATTATAAAACTGTGTAGTGTAAATCATGTCACTAATCCGTTTTGGCGGGCCGTTTTTAATCATTGTTTCTGTAACTTTTATTACACAATTATTGTATAATTATTACAAAAAAAGAAAACGGCATACATCAACAACTAAAAGAGAAATAAACGAAGTTATAATGTTCTCTTATGATGCAAGTAAACTGAAGAAAAGCAAATATTCCCGTTGTAATATAACTCATAGTATGGACCGTTTATTATATTACTTGAATGTCCCGCGACAAAGCTTAGATATTTGCATGTACGTAATGACAAATTTGGATTTAAGCAACGTATTAATGAAATTACACTTTAGAGGTGTAAAAATACGTGTCATAATTGATGCAGATATGGCATATTCTTCTGGATCGTATACCAGAAAGTTAGAAAGACAGGGGATTCCAGTGAGATGGATGAAATCGAGCAATTTAATGCATCATAAATTTTGTCTCGTTGACACATTAGCTGTAGATAAACATATAACTCCATTTGTAATGATGGGATCATTAAATTGGACAAATCAGGCTTTAAATGGAAATTGGGAAGATGTAACAGTGACCTCCCAAAGAGATATAGTACAACAGTACCATGCTGAATTTGAGAGACTGTGGGTTTTATTTAAACCAATTGTAGACTTTACTTAGATCTAAGGTGTTTTTATTTTGTTAATAGATTAATATATCAACACAATATAATTAGATTATGTTGTGTTAAATTTAAATTCTCTTTTAATTTTTGATCTGTGCTAACAGTCAGTAAAGGAATGAAACTAAGTAATATACAAGACACTTGTAAGTGTGTACTTTATTGAAATTAAATGCTTCCACTATCAACTCCCTAAAATTATCCTACTTAATAATAAATATTTATTTAATGACATCATTAGCACAAAGTGCAATTAGCTAATCATTATCATGTTGGGATACTATAAAAAACATAACAGTGAAGCTACAGTAGCTTGTTGGATGTGCACTACAAACTCAAAAGGTGATGGGTTCGAATCAACCATTTGACTACTGTCGTGAATCACTCCTAACGCAAGCATTTTAAGATTACGAGGTATGTTTAAAGTGAATATTAGTAAAGTTAAAAACATTGGTAGTATTTATAAAATAACTTTTTCAACTGTACCAAGCTATTTGAATTGAACTATGAGACTTATAGTCATGTGATATCTGCTGTGAGATGTTCTAGTAAAATATTGTTCTATTTATTACATTGGGATAGAAAAATTTTGAATTGTATTTTGTTAATATTCCTTATAAGGATTTATTTTGAGATTACTTGTGTATTCATAACAATATTAAATTCATGCTGCTATTAAAGGGATGGCATTATTTCTAACAGTCAGTGTGTTAGAAATCATGCAATCCGTTTAATAGCAGCATGAATCAAATATTGTCTAATATTGTCAGTACATGTTAAAACCATGCAACTTTAATAAAGTGCATTATCTGCTTATAGTACAGTGCATCCTTATGCAATCTTTTTGATAGCAGCCTTACTTTTAAGATTAAGTAAATGTTAAAAACTTTTTACTTCTTTAATAATTTGTTTTGTATTAACTATGTTTAATAAACAAGACTATTCCTTAAAGTATATTGACCAAAAAGTATTAAAGGTGTTTAATTTTTCGCATTTTATTTTACAACTCGATATTACTATAATACAAGGTAAAATACTTAGGCTTACCTTGGACAGTAAACTCAAGTGGAATAAACACATAAACAAAGCAAAAATCAACAAAGCTAGTTTAACTTTCTGACAATGCAGAAACATGATTGGCAAACAATGGGGTTTGACACCAAAAATTATACGCTTACAAAACTAAGCAAACAAAAAAAAAAAAACTTTAGAGGCTATACTGGAGCTAACACTGCTTCATCTACATATACAACAAGAAGCAACTTTAGATGCCATTAGACTCAAGACCCTACATCTTTTAAGTAAGAGTAGAGTCCCCATACATACAGGTATAATTGATAGAATTTACTCAAAAATTCCTATCTTACAAGCCAAGTATGATAGGATCGCAAAACAGTTTGTATTCGATAAGAAGTACAGGATACAATTGAAGGAAACTGACTAGCTGGAAGGATTGGGACCAAAAAAGCTCAAAGTTTTCACGTATGGTTCTAAGACAAATGAAGGTGTAGGGTCTGGGGCTTTCTCTGAAGATCTTAATATCCACATATGCACACCGCTGGGTACCCATAACACAGTCTTCCAGGCTGAATGCATGGGTATCATCCAAGCGGCCATAGCAATAGATGCTAGGAAGGTGAAAGACTTCTCCATCAGAATACTGACCCAGTGGCGAAACCTCCATAGAAGCCGAAAAGCCGGGCTTGCCTTATCAAACTGAATCAATCAATAATATCAACTAATAAAATAACTCGTAAACTATTTCAAATTTCCCGCGCACTCCACTCACGTCGACACAGGTCGACCGATGACCTCGTATTGCCTTAGCGATACTGCTGCTGTCAGAAAATGAGTTTTAATAGAGCGATTAGTTGTCTCTCTCGCTTGCGTGGGCTTTTTACGGGGCTTTCGAGAAGACGATCGCTCTCTTTCTAACCAATGGCAAAATATTCTATAATGAAATATAACTACGATTGTATATATAGCAATTAGTATAGAGAGTTAAAGCCAGGCTTTAGGAACGAAGTTGTCAAAAGCGAAGGCGCGCAGGCAATACGTTTGCAAGTTCATTTCACATTTCAATGTTTATTTACTCTGTGTGTTTGGCTTAAGCAATTTAATATTGCGAGTTGAAAATTTATGCTTTTTTAAAGATTTTTAGTGAAAATGGAGGATAATAGTGTTCCTTGTGATGAATTGAAGTGTGTTAAAGTGCTAATCGGAGAGGAAAAGGTAAAATCTTTAAACTTTGTTGAGATAATACACAAGGTCAAGACTGTATTTCAGACTTATCAATTATCGCAATTAAAAACAGTTATTCGTACAATTAAAACGTTCACCAGCATTTTACGTGGACGTAATTAAATCTTTCCTTAAGGAAGAGAGACGATTCCATATAGAATGTAAATAATTTTTTTTTTAATTTTGTACATAGTTTGTACTTTGTTCATGTTTTACTTTTGTTCATGTATTGTATTGTATGTAAATATCTTTTTCTTTCGCTTAAACAAACCCAAACGGCTTTCTTCAAAGCCACCGAAGCTGTACACTTGCTGATATGTAATACAATCTATCTAACAGTAGTATGCCTGCTGTGTGCTTTGTTAAACACGTCCTTGACACTGAAGAGTGGAGACAGATCAAGATTGGTGTATTTTTATAAAACTGTTAAAAACAACAATCTATATTTTTATCAATTTATATCTTGGGCTTGCTCTAGTTTGGAGCTCTAGCTTCGCTACTGTACTGACCGACAGTATGGCGGTACTACAAGCTCTGGAGTTGCAATGTGGCTAACTCGGGACTGATATATGAGCGCCATCAACGATTGAATGAGGTATGTAAGCACAACAATGTGACTCTGCAATGGATCAAGGGACACAGTGGCAACGATGCAGCAGATGAACTGGCTAGAAGGGGATCGGCTCTGGCAACTATAGGGCGGAACCTATAATACCAATCCCCTTTGGCTACGTTCGTTCGCTGGTACGTAGATACTTCAATAATTTACACGCTCAGATTCGGAAAAATTTAGTAGACCATAGACAAGCTAGGGAGGCTCTGCCTGAAATAAACAGTCGTCAAACCAAGGTTCTAATGAGACAACAAGTCACATATCGGGATAGTTGCAAGTGCTATCACAGGACATGGCTCTTTTAACAAACATTTGTTTACCATAGGTGTTACTGATAGCCCTCTGTGCAGGGCATGCATGGGAAAGGAGAAACGGCGGCTCACGTGTTGTTAACATGTCCAGAAGTTGCTTCATACAGGGCTAAACATCTCGGCACGCCGGGATCGCTCCCGAAGTTGCTTGCAACATCATAGGACTGTTGAACTTCTTCGAGGATATTTTCTCATATTCATGGCTCGAATGACCACATTATTCCTGCCCACACGCAAAGTACGAACTTAGACGTGGAGTTGCGGAAAACAGCCCGTCGTAAACTAAACTAAACTGCTATAATACTTTACTAATATCCATTCTGGAAGTGCTATAAATAACTGTTTGATATTTTTACAGATAATATTGTCCCAAGGCGAGTGGAAATTATTACCAAGAGGTTCCTTTATGTTATAGTAGATGTTCTATTCCATTTGAATCTTTCTAGAATTTACTAATAATCAGCATCACAAAGTACAGTTTTTTTTTAAATATTAACTTTTGAGTTGAACTACACGTTGCATTGCGGCAACATAGCGGTATCGCACATCATTGTTTTTGGCGTTTTGCTTGCCACACGGCAAGTTTTATTTCGTAACTAACTTTTTACCCGCGGCTTCTCTCGCGTGGGCTTTAGTTGAGGAACATCATTAATACTGCTCCATACCAAAATTAGTAAGGTTGGATCCCTTGTAGAGTCGCTTAGTTGTCACGTTTGTTAGTCAAATGATATCTTTTAAATTCTTTGAGATTATTAGACGTAGATTTTTTTTAGAATTGCATTAATATCGTACGTCCAGCAACCCCTGTCACTTCTTATATCGGTCATGACTTCCGAGGTAAATTATCTTTGATTCAAGTTACAATTTACTTTTTACTCCTTACATTTATTCGTAAATTAAGATAATTTAATTTTGACCAAATAATGCCGAATTTCGTCGTCTTCTATTAATGTACGGCAGAGTGTTTATTTGCGATATTTGTTTTATAATATCATTGGCCTATTGAATATTGATTGGCACTATAAAATAGTTGCTTATATTTTTACTAATCCATCAAATAGAGATAAAAACTTACATCGGATAACTTAATACCAAAGGAAGTTAGTAAAATCATTGCTATGCCGATATACACGTAATAAGTATAGTTACTAAAAAGTTTCTGTTTTAATCATAGTTTTGTATACACAGTATCCAGTGTAACAGTTTAGTTAGTTATTTTGCTAAACGTGGCAATTACGGTAAATTAGCCCGATAATAACTGGATATTTTAAGTTTTTGATCCTGCAAGAATAAGTATTCAATATTATTTATTATATTTAATCTTATCAGTTAGTTATTATTAGTTTATTTAGCAGTAAATAGATGGCGCTAATTTCAGATTAAAACTGTGAAAGCCAAAACTCAAGTTATGTAAATGTGGCGAGATCGTAGAATTGATCATAATATCATGAAGTGCTGGACCACTTCAAATATCGCAATCATATCATAACAGCCTATTATTACTGACCATCTCTCCATAGTATAAAACAAAGTCGATTTTGATGAAAATTTTTATGTGTATTTAAATGCGTCCCTGTATGGTTTAGATTTACAAATTGGTTTAGATTTTTTATCCGGTAGGTGGTGCTGTTACCGATATCCAGAAATCACCCGTGCTAAGCTCTGGTGAATCTTTAGTATCGTATAAATGTCAACGTTTGTCAAATTTATCCTCAATCTACAATTGAATCTACGAAGTCTATTCTCGTTTCGCCATAATATCATACGAAAGCACCATCTAGTAATATCAGCGACAGTAGATTGATATGCGGCTGGGGTGATCCTTGGGCTACCTCAAAGCCGCGAACATTTATATATATTATTTAAATGTTCGCGATAAGGCATAGAGTTATGTGGATTCTGTTAAAAAAGTGCGCTATCGGCGTCGCTAGCGGTGAATAGTGAAACTATTTTACGATATTAGAATATTATGAAAATGCAATGTTGGGTTTAGTAGTCAATTTTTTCAACCAACGTTTATTCATCGATTTGGTCAAGCCTTATCATGATATGGTCAACAGACAGTGTTAAATTTCACGAAATAACACAATTTCATGTAATGATCGAATATTCATGATAAAATCATTTCTACGAACTGGCTAGGAAGTATACAAAAATACCTTTAAAAAGTATAAGTGTTGATGATGTTATGAAAAAGTTTTGCAAAAATTAGTATTATTAGTATTAGTAATTAAACTAAAAAAACATCTGAATTTTCATAGATTTCACTATTATCTATTTAAATTCATCATTCAAATCATTTAATAAAGTATAAATGTAAGTTATTTATGTTATTTAATTTATTACTTAGTAACTAGTAACTGAAGACTAAATATGCTACTTTTTACTTTTTATGACAGATGGCGCTGTTTCGGAAACGTGCAATATAGATCGTTGGCGTAGTTTCAACTTATTACAGTTAATGATTAAAACATTTGTTTTTTTTTTTTTTTTTTTTTTTTCCGCTTCGGGGGAAAAAAAAAAAAAAAAAAAAAAAAAAAAAAAAAAAAAAAACGTAAAAAAAAAAAAAATTATTACAGTTGAAACAAATTTTAACCTTTAATTGTAAATGTTGTATTCGTATAAAAAACACTACGTTATCCCGCTTATAAAGTATCATACATAATAGAAAATTAACTTCTAAAGAAAGGAAAATATTTAACTCTCCTTTTTTAAGTTCCGTAATCGGATAAAAAGTAGCCTATAAGTAGCCCCGGGTCACTAACTGCCTGCATACAAAATTTCATGAAGGTTTGTCCAGTAGTTTTCGCGTGAATCTTTAATACACAGACAGACAGACAAAAATTCTAAAAACCATTAATTTGACTTCAGTGTCCTTTATTTAGTCCCATGGACTTGTTTTTTCCAGGAAATATTAGAATTACAGACACGACTGTTCTACAGATTTATTATATGTATAGACGAAACTCGAGAGAAATGTCTTGCAGACAAAGGGCAACAATTTGGTGCCAAGCTAGTGAATGGTAATGCAGCAATTGCGATTTTCCTAAAAGCAGTATACACGAAATCGCCCTAGGCCCAGCCCAATTGATGCCCTTACTATTTTATAATGTTATTTAAAAAAATAATTATAATGTAAAATAGCTCAAAATTATCTTTTATGAAGAAAACCTGTGCATGTAATTATGTATACACATACAAAGTGGAAATTTCTTTACGATATATCATTCTTGTTTATTTTATTACTCATGCAGCCCCGGTGGTGTGATGTTACAAGAAAACGTGACCTTTTTTAAATACCGTACTAAATTTCTCTACTACTTTGATAAAGAAGTTTCACTTCAAAACTACTCTACACAAGGATTTTCTCTTGTATCGTGGGAGATGATTTAAATACAAAAATTTCTCATGGACAAACTAGCACGAGACAGTTTGTAGACCATAATATAAAGACTTGCGTTTACGTAGGGAATATGCACGCGTGGCCACAGCTAATTACTTAGCCACTGCGCACTCGTTAACTAATTTATGCTCAAATAATCAAACCCTGGTACATTTTTTTATGCCGTGAAGTCTCGTGTTGTCTCTAGTAAGTTAAAGTGACTGTGACATCACGAGATCTAACGATGTCTTAAAATTGAGTAGCGTTTGAATATTTGGCCAATTATAAGTTAAAATATACAAACGGGTGACGATGAACAATTGAATTCATCAATCAATTGAATTTGGAAGAGGTAAGAGAGGATATATGAAAAACCTAAAACAACTAGGTAATATTTTAAATAAATCTAACTTGCGAATTTTATCGCGTTTTATTCATGTAATATTTAGCTCGGCAGCGCCTGTGGTTGTAACAGAGTAGTTTGACGTTCTGAGATCATAATTAACCAGGGATATTTTCAGATTTTGATTTATAACATAGGCATGATCTATGGGTTTCTTCTTAATTTCTTTATCGGTCCGATACGACCACTAGAACGGCTGCTGAGATCCTGAGAATCCTTGAAACCAAATAACTAATCCGTTATTTGGTTTTTTGTCAAATAATTCTCAGTAGCAATCCGGAGTCAGAAAGTTAACGGTTTTTCACCGCTGTGCCTCGGAAAACACTTAAAGCCGTTGGTCTTGCGACTGATCTCTTTTCGGATTTCCGTCCTAACGGACTATGAGAGTGAGGGGATAAAGAGTGCACCTGTGTTTACGCTTACACTCGAACACTACAATCCTGTCCAGGCAGATGAAACCGCATCGTGACAAAACCGAAATTCGATCTGAAGAATATATAAACAGACCGTAAAAATTAATTGCCGAGTATTGGCCTATTTGGGATTATTTTGTTGGCGATCGCATAATCAGGCGCATCGCTTCTCTGTCGCTGCTGCGTATTGCCGGTCTGATTTTTAAACGTCTGTCGACACCTACCATGCGAATGAGATGACGCTCTCACTGACCCGCGACTTGGTAACCATAATCACGTCATAAATCTGCGTACCGCTACCGTTACAGCCTATATGTACATAGGCCAGGCCATTTCCATAGATTGCCTCATAGGGGTGATATTTGGAATAGTTGCATGCTTGGCAGGATTTTTGACAACTGCATTTTTTTTTCTGTTTTTGTTACGATTATTATGGAATATGCTGCTGCCCACGTCCTATCAAAACAGCATACTATAAAAATAGGCTAAATTCTGGGAATGTTCTAGATGACGTAACGAAAAGGGTCTGATGAGCGAAATGATAATATTTCGACTTGTCGAGCACGATGGGCGATTCCTTGCATTTCTTCTCTTCGTCATCTTGATTAATTAATTAAAACTACTAGCAGACAAAGAAGAGAGCCAAGGTTGTAAGACCTTTGAGCGACTGCATTCCTAAACCTGGCCCCGGTCACGTCGTTCAAGCTAAGAAATAATAGTAAATAAAAAATGCTATGTTATAACCTTAATATTTATTATTACAATGTCTTTCTTTCATAATGTTATATTGTTAATAGTAAAATCATGAGGTCTTAACCTTAAATTCAAATTGTACGAACTATGGTGACTTGGTTGCAATGGGTTGGTATATCCGCCTATTAAAGCACAAGATCCGTAACTGTTCTCCGTAGGTCCTCCATAGCTTGTTACATTTTGTGTCATTAATGTATTAGAATTTGGTATGTACTGTCGATTGCTAACATTTTGCATCATCAACGAGTAATCATTTTGATATAGGCCTGAGTTTGTTATGGGTAAGCCGAGGTTGAAATTTAAATTATTAGTATGAAAGTGATTTAGCCACGGCTCTTTGGTGTTTCGCGTTAAGTCTTGCCTAGGGTCAGTCTGATGTGAAATTCCGATTGGAACCGGTATAGGTTCCGGGGAACTTTGGCTTGTGCTGCGGTGCGAAGAAAGTGCCGATCGTTCGTTTCGACGAAATTTAGCTCGCCTGTTTTGAAACCATACCTGTAAACAAACGAACGTATTAACTTGATAGTATGCGATGCTTTCATTGTTATTGTATAGGTTTTCCTAAGTTTCCAAATATCCAAATAAGTAAGGTGTGCAATGAATTTCCAACTGAGTTAGACAGATCGCTGAAAAGTAATCTCAAATTCAAAAGTAACAAGTGGGTAAATTAAAAAAATTGTACAACCGACTTCATTATAAATAATATGAGAACATCATCATTGTAGTGGAAGTCAATTAAATACGCATTATTATGGATAACTCAAAAACTACAGGTCAGATCTTGTACAAATTTATATGGAACCACGTGAGAAGCACCAGCTTCTAAATAAAAAACGAATCTTCAAAATTGTTTCATTTCGAAAATAGTTCTCAGACAATACACATAAAAAACACAGTCGAATTGACAACCTCCTCTTTTTTTGAAGTCGGTTGAAAATAAAACTTTTAATAAAAAGTATAACCCGACTCCAAATATTTTAAAATAATAAAACAATGTCCACATAGTTAAGTCCGCTTCTACAAGTCTGTGCTAATACTCGCTAGCTTTTTATTCCAAGTTTAAGTTTTACCTTTTTGAGCGGACTAAGGAATATCACAAGCTCAACGTAACAGAAAATGTCACAAGCTTATGATAACAACTAAAACGTCGTCGAAACAGTAACATTAAAAATGTCATCCCCTATGAGAACCGTTCTCAACCTTAGAAATTATAATACGGCCGACGCGACGTATCTTGGCGAGTCTGAACATGAACATAGGCTCTGCGAACTTTAGCGCATGTTCACTCGTAAAGAAAACTGTTACTGTAATTTTTTTAATATACCAATGTATAGCACATACGGATAAAGAATGGAATTATATACTCGTATGGCGGCCCGTAACGTCAACATGCACAATACAAATAACGAAAACCCGCTAATAACGGTATATCGTTATGAATACGTTAATTAAAACGTTAGGTATATTATTCGGTTAGTTAGAAATTTTCTATAAATGAGAAAATATTTAAATATAAATATATACACAAGTAGACACATTAATTTTAAAATAACATTTGTAACCAGTGACCCGCACTGGCTTAGCTTGGATAAAATTGAATTATTTATAAGTAAAGATTAGTAAATTATTCACGACGACTAAAATATTATTAATATCTAAAATATATAAAATATCTTGTTTTCATTATTTGTTATTTAGGTATAGAGTATGTAAGTATTATTATAGTTATAATCATATTAGATAAATTCAATGTGTAAAAATAGATAGATTCAATTATGGTATTACCATTTTTAAGATACAAGAAGAAGAACAAAAAATCGTTGGAAAATTCTTTTTTTTTTTTTGTTATTTCTTATATAAAGACCCCCCTTAAACATTTTATTATTTTTATTACTTGCCACTATAGTTACTAATAATTAAAAAGTTACAGCCCTGCGACAAAGAGACAGAGTAATAGGGTTCCGTTGAGCACTCTGCCGAGTAGTGGCGGTGTAAGAATATCTACTATCCCATATCACCACGTGGGTGTCAATCCGCTTGCGAAGCGCGACAACTATAGCGAAAATCTCCCGTTCATCATTATTGAGTGGTGGGCTGTTTTTGCACACTTTGGGTACGGAACTCCGAGAACGGACAACGTTTGAAATAACGAAAATCAAATAGCGAATACAGTATTTTTTTTTTCAAATCATTATTTATAAACAAACGTATAGCTACTAGATAAACTTGGTACACACCATCTTTTTAATTCGAATGACAATGGTGTTGCTATAACCGCCCTTGCATTACTATATAGCAATGGGTGATAACGTTCCAGACTTTTCTCTTCCTTAAAATACTTTATTACGTTATATACAATTTTATGTGTAGCACAATATAGTGATTTCCCGCATTTATGCTCCCTTGTTAACAGAATGTAGATAAAATAATAAAAGAAAAACACCAAATAACGTAATAGTCAACAAAAATGAAATAACTAACAACGCTTTACAATAAATAATAAACAAAAACATTAACAACGACTTACCAAAGTATTAACAATCATCAATAATCAACAATAATTATGTAAAAAAACTCTCAGAATGCTTCTAGGTCACAAATTTATAATAATTATAAAACTTATGGGATATTTTTTTAGTTTATGGCATTTTGTTACCATTTATGCCAATGACAAGTCGAACTGAAGTTATAGCATGTACAAAAAACGCATATCGCAACATTTTTTTTATAGTCACTATTTGTAGGTGTGAGTATAGATAGCGACAGCGTGCGAGCGAGAGATAAATAGAGGCGACGCCATTTTCAGTCCCATTCTTTAACCGCACGAGTAGTACGAATAAAATTTCCCTAATAGTGTGACCAATTGGTACACATAAAATAAATATATATTAATAGCAGTGTAATTTTTCTCCTAATCTTTATCGAACTTTTTAATTACAATCTATTTATATTTATTAGGTTAAAAAAATCGGTTTACAATTCAAGGTATTTCTATATTATTAATATTTGAACTTATGTAGTTTTTGACTATAATATATTTATTTTATTACTAGCTTTTTAGCTTTTAACCCACGGCTTCGCTCGCGTTGGCTTCTATTTAGAAACGTCATAAATACTACTCTGTGCCAAAAGTAGCAAAATTAGATTACTTGTAGAGTCATCTCGCTATATGTTTCTATATTGGACGTAAGTGATTGAAATTCGGCAATATAATATCCTGCAGATACACTCTCACACTCTCTTCACCTTTCTTGTATCGGGCATATCTACCGATATGTCTTTATGAAAGGTAAAGTAAAAAGTAAAGTTAAGTTACAGCCGATATACGTATTTCTGAGAGGGTTTTAGGGCGAACTTCACATGTCTTCGAAATATTTCTTTTTTCTTATTCCTCAGACATGCAGGTTTCTTCACGATGTTTTCCTTCACCACCGAGCAGGTGATAAATCAGCACTTAAAATTGCAATTAACAATTTCATTGGTGCCGAGGGGATCGAACCCGGGCTACTCGCGTTCTGTTATATTGTTGCGTGAATAAGTCAACGTCATACACTAGCGCCATCTAGTGTCAGGAACGAGAGCGAGGGGGAGCTTTGCAGAAAATGACATCACAAATCTTTCAATCGGCAGCGCCATCTAGTCTCAAACCGAAGAACTAAGTTTCTAGAAAATCTACACTCGAACACTCGTCGCTTTGCGCGCATTTACTTGAATATTCCGGATGCTTCATTGCTAATTTGTATATATAGGCGCTGCAAGATGCGATCGGGGTAGTATTGGATTTGGCGAGACAAGCGAAGCTTCGGAGCGGAATAAAGTGAATTAGTGTGTTTAATTATTAGTGTTTTAAGTTTTAATTTGTGTAAAGTATATTAAAGTGTTAATTTAGGTAATTTTATCGGCAATTTTTATTGTCACGAACCTCAAGCTCGTAACAATATTTACAGCGAGCGTTAACCATTTGAGCTACCACGGTTATGAAAGGTAAATTGTCCTGTAATTAGAAACGCGTTGTTTACATTTATTCATAATTAAAGTTGATAGCTTTGAATATATAACGTTGAATTTCTTGGTCTTTTATTAATACAAGGCATAGCGTTTATTTGCGATATTTGATTCAAATCATAGACCCCATTGAATGGGCACCATAAAATATATGCCCGTATTTCTTACGTTCGAGTAGACTTCAGAAATTTATAAATGTGGTTACGGTGAACTTGTGAGGAAAACTATATTCACGAATGGAAGTAGAAATAGCAGCGTCTTCCCGATTATAGCTTAAAACTATGAAAAGATGCAGTTGGCAACTACGGCAAATATGCAACTTATTTGACAATCTTTAGGGAGAATCGAATTGATTAAAGTGAGTGGAAATATATTAGCCATACGGAGGCAGCGAAATAGAAACCACAAACGAAATGTGGTTCGTCTCGTGGGTGCTGTAAGAAGCGACAGAGTTAAACTGAACCAGGAGATGGGTTGCAGAATCTTTCAGATATGAGCGCAAAGTAATAAAAAGCTGCAGTTGCGAACCCGCTTGTCAACTTTAACTACTTCAAATATCCGGTATATTTGACAAACAATGAGGGAAGCCCATGATCAGCAGTGGATAGCCCTATTAACAGTAAAAAAGTAGCAGCCTACATACTTCCTACTACTAAGCAAGGCCGTAGCGAGTTTCTGGACAAAAAAGAGTTAATAGAGTTTATTTATTTATTTATTTATTGATCCACCAACGTTTGTTTACATCAGTACATATACAAATATAAATACATAGTACACAGAAATTAATCTAGGTGTAACAAACACTTACAGGTAGATACATCATGCTTAGTAGGGATATAATAAAACTTCTAAGTACGAGCTAAGGCAAAAACAAAACAAATAAGAAAAGGATAATACAAAAAGGCAAATACATTTCTATTATAATTAGCGTTTGGCATTTAACAGTAATCGAATCTTATTGGTTGAATCTGCATTAATATCGAGTAGGTCACTGTAGTCATTGACCAGCCTGCAAAGTCTAGGGACAGGCGAATTTGATCCAAACACTGTTTTCCGGGGTGGTGGACAGAGGGGCGTTATTTTATTACGAGGAGGTCTCTTCGGTACGCGCATATTAAATTTATTCAGTAACTGAGGGCAATCGATTTCATTAGTGAAAATTTTCGAAACAAAAAATAGGTCTAACCGCTTTCTACGTTCTTCTAAGGAAATCATTCGGAAGTGTTCCAGCTGTTTATGATACGAAGGGATTTTCTTTTTTGAAATCCCGTTTGAAGATAAGAGATACCGCAAAAATCTTTTCTGTATGCGTTCTATTTGTAGAGAATGAGTCGCATAGTGAGGCCTCCATACCACTGAACAATATTCCAAAATACTGCGTACAAGGGAGTTGTACAACAGAATCCGAACCCTGTTGTTGCGTAGCCCTTCAATATTTCTCAAAACAAACCCCAAAATTTTTGAGGCCCGGTTTACCATTTGCTCCATGT